GTTCTTGCATTCAGTGCGTGTTTACTCTTAGGCTGCTTTGTTTTTATCATTGTGTCATATGTTCAGATCTTCAAATCAGTGCTCAGAATCCCCTCTGAGCAGGGCCGGCATAAAGCCTTCTCCACCTGCCTTCCTCACCTCACTGTGGTCTCCTTGTTTGTTTTCACTGGGTCCTTTGCCTACCTAAAACCCACCTCCAGCTCCCCATCTGCTCTGGATCTTGTGGTGGCAGTTCTCTATTCCGTATTGCCACCAATCATGAATCCAATTGTCTACAGCCTGAGGAACAAGGAGATGAACGCTGCCCTGAGAAGACTGACTGGGTGTAGGTAATTCACCAAGAATTAATTTTATGTCTTTATCTAATTAAAGTTTGCTCACATAGTATCTGTTCATTAATGTCAGTTATTTCCATGACCACACAGCTTGCACACAAACAGGTCTGATTCTGATCTCAGTTGCACCAATGCAAATCCAGATTAACTCCATTGATGTCACTGCCACTGCAGTGATTTACACCAGGAGAAAATCTGGTCCAGTTGTGGAGTTAAATGGGTGTAAATTGTGTTCACAAGAGGAATCAGACTTTCATTCTGTGCCAAAACAATATCCGTTACACTGCTTAGCCACATGCACCCAGTCCATGGCCATTGAAAACAATGATGGGCGTTGTCTTGCTTGTGTGCATAAATCGGGAGTGGCTTTGTTGGAACCAAAGGAGTCAGACTGGTGTAAGACTGGGGTAGGTGAGAAGAGATTTCGGGTAGATCTGCAACACATCATTGTAGTTCGGGGCGTCCCTAGCTGCAGATGGGCCATTAGTGGGCTGGATGGGCCCAGAGGTCTGATCTGGGGTGGAAGGGAAATGGGGGGAGACAGCAGGCTTGATGGACCCAGAAGTGTGAATGGGGCAGCAAGGAGTGGCTAGAGGGGCCGATGAGCCAGCCTGGTATTTACGTTCCTACTGAAGTAAATCAATCTGAGATATGAGCTTGAAATGCTCAGCCCATTCGCTGTAGGAATTGCCTTCTTGTCACCTGGTGCCTGCCTCGCTGTCTCCCTCCAGAGCACTTCTGACGTCCTGTCCTGAGGAAAGCTATGGAAAGCAAACGTCTCCCTGCCCGTCTCCCACCAACACCCCGGCCCCTGCTCTGTGCCTAGCTGAGAAGCACAGCCCAGCTGGTCTAACCTTGGTGTAAAAGTGCATTTAGGGGCACTGACCTGGCATTCCATACACCATCCAGTGTAAATCTGGTCACATCCCAGCTGAAAATGGATCTCAGAATTTGGCTGATTACTCTTATTCTTCCCTCTCTGTGCATGGTTGTGTACAGTACATATATGACAGATAAAAGGAGATTATGTGATTAAACGGACAGACAGATAGAACCAATCCTTCTCTGAATACATAAGCTCATTTTGCCATAATGATACATTTCTGCTTGATTGTTAATATGTTGATAGACAGAGAGCTAGATAGAAGGTTATGATGATGATGCTGAAGATAGATAGATAGATAGAGAGATAGATAGAGAGATAGAGAGATAGAAATGGTGAGAGATAGAGAGATAGATACAGAATGTATGCAACTATTGTGATCTTTTTCCTGGTCAAAGCTGTCTATGTCCAGATCATGATTTTCTTATAAGTATTCATTATGAAACATTATTCACCAAAGCATGTCTATGAATATTCCTTATTCCACAACTCCTTTACAATCAGCTCATCATAAGCACTCGGTGTTTGAAATTTTAGCTCTTCTGACTGGATACATTTTTTGTAAGACACTCTGTTTCTTTTCTCTGATTGGATACATTGACGTGTTAGAAAGTTTAAAGTGAAGGGGTCAAAGCTCAGCTGGTGTGGATTGTCATAGCTCCATTAAAGTCAATACTGCTCTGATAATTCACACCACCAGGGAACCACCCTGAACACACATGAATATGACTCAAGCCTCTCCCTTCCTCCCTTGAATATTCTGTACCAGGGCCCTGATTCAGGAAACCACTTCAGCATGTGCTTAACTTTAAGTTTTCAATGGGACTACTCAACTGGTTAAAGTCAAACTCATGCTTAAGTTCTTTCTTGAATTAGGGGCAAAGTCAGGGTTAGTGCCAAAGGATGCACATAACAGGGTCTTACTTGAACTGCTGTCACACCCAGATACTTCCTCAATTCCTCTCCTTCCCCAGTTAAACGTCCCACTGCAATTGGTGAGTTGGAATTACACTCCCCTCTGGGGTTTGGTTTATTAACAGAGAATAACACTTAAAAGCCAGAATCTCTGGGCTCCATTCCCCAGGCTCACCAGGCCATTATGCCCCTCCTGGGATCCTAATCCCCTCTGGCTGCTGTGATGAGCTTCTTCCCAAGTCATCCCTGAACCTGGGTCCCATTTGGATCCCCTGCGGGAGTCTCCTGATCCCTGAAATTCTTCTAGCCTTTACTCTTGGATCAGGGCGTCAGGCCCAGTTCTCTGTGCTCTTAGATCTCTGAGCAATGGCACTCTCCCAGGCCCACCCCAGTCCTGGGCCTGTCCACAGAGACCTCCCCTAGGTCTTTCCAACCCATTGGTCCCCCTCACTGTGATGGATCAGGCTCCCTCCTGAGCCTGGTCACTGACCTAGCCCAGCCCCAAGCCCAAGCCCATCACCTGGGAAGAGATGACAAGGCATAGGTGTGGATGAGCCCATCTCCCCTTAAAGGGCCAGCACACCCTGAGGAAAGGGAAATTCAAATGGGCCTAAGGTATTTGGGCACCCAACTCCTATTGACTTGCAATGGGAGTTCAGCACCTAATTCCCTTAGGCTCCATTGAAAATTTCATCCCAATTGCTTATTCATTTCATCCCATCATCTTTTCTATTTTTGTTGATGGACTATTCACACAGGGGCCATGGACTTGGATGAATCAAATTAATAGAAAAAGTAACATTGCTATTCACACAGGGATGATTTTGCTGTATTCATTCAATTCTTCAAATGATACAGGGAAGGAGCTCACTCTACCTTCTGGCCAAGATAAATGACAAGGTAGCTCATAAGTAGAACTGGCTGCAAAGTTCTGATGAAACAATTTTGTCCAAAAATACTGATTGATATAACCTGAAATGATTCACAAAATGCTTCCCAACCATAAGGACTAGAAAATTAGTTTTATTTAAAAAATGAAAGCTGAGATTCTGCTGTAATGTCATGACTCCTGCAGCTAGGGCCCTGCACACTGGCCTGTAGTGCTCAAACCTTAATCCAGCCCCAAATGTTTTCCTACTCTCATATTGCCATATGCACAATTGCAGTAGCTTATGCTGGGATGTTAT